TTAAATCTGAAAAAAAAAAAACATAATTGAATAATTTTTTATTGTAAATTTTAGTTGCTGAAATTGTAAGTGTGCATTTTCAAAGTGTTTAAAACGCAATAAGAACAAAACAATCACCCTTTAAAGTCAAATTCAGAGTCAAATTCAAAGAGTCAAATTCAAAGAGTAAAAAAAAAAGGCCTAAGGAATCAATCCAAAATGATCTGATCTAATTTAGTAACACGCATGAAATGGTGCAGTGAACTAGTCTGACTGGACAAAATCTGCCTCATCAAAACCTCATCTCTTTTATTTCTTAAGTGTAAACCCCGCCCACAGATGAGAACGGCCAATAGGAAACGGCCTCCGTCCTCCTCCCTCACATGAGATCGATTGCTTCTGCCTTGGCATCTTAGATCTTTGTCTTTTTAGAAATTCAGTGGTATGTATCAAAATCTAATGGAACAAATTATCTTCTGTAGTCTGTGTGAAAAGAAAAAAGCTAAATACCGATAAAACTTGAGTTCATAAATAATGATCAGATCCGACTGGCACACAAGTGTTTATGGACTAATAATAGACTAATCATATCCATAAAAGTTTTTGTCACGCTCACATGTGCCATTCCAAGTTTGTTCTCAGTGCATCAGATTTGTCTTTTGGAACAGACTCAAAGTAAAAAATGGAATTAAGCAACTTCAACTTAAGATAAATTTATGGCAGGGTGAGCAGATTTTCAAAACTCAAAACTGGGACACACCCGGGATGGGATGGCTGGTATAAATAAAATTTTGAAAAAAGCGTTGCATTGTCCAACACACTCCCTTGAGGATTAGTATGGAAACTGAAGGACTTCTGTAGGTGTATTTTTGCCTTTTGTTCATTTTTAAGCATGTTTTTTTTGTATTTTAGTTAAAGAAATGGTAATATATCCCTTTACTGTTGTTGGGAATCGGATTGGTCAAAAATAGGGACACGTCTTGTCTAAAACTGGGACAAATCACTAGTTTTGGATCAGTCTGCTGGGACAGATACAGGACTCAACACTGGGACCTCGTTTACACTGAAACGAATCCGCGTATCACCTTATCAGAAACTATCTGCGTCCAGACACGTCGTTTCTGTATCCGCAATCAAAGCCTTCCCTGTCCACACAGTAACGCAAAACCGTCTGAAACGCTAGTCACATGATAAAGTGGTGTCACATCGTCAATCGCTAATTTTGAGCCGAGGGAGATGGCAAGTGTAAAAACAGTCTTTTCGTGGACCGATGACGAGGTTCAGTTGTTATTTAGCTTAACACTGGATTTTAACACGAGCATGGCGGCTCAGAGTGTGGACTGACTCGTTTTTGTGTCTGCAAGCCTTCCCTATCCACATGGCTTTGAGCATATTTGTTCACGTTTTACAAAAACAAAACTTAAAACCACATGGCTAATTTGCATAAACTGAGCGCTCAAAAAACAGCTCTAAACTAAAGGACATGACTCAGCGGAATATGTTGTTCCTGTGACAGCGGGATGTTTTGCTGATGGTGAGTCTCTGCTTTCCTTCTTTCACGTTAAAGATGATTCATGTTAAATTTTCAGAGTTTATACGTCTGCAGGTTGTACACATAGACCGTATATATATGAATGGACATATATCCTAGCCTCTTAGCGTTTTGGCCGTAAATTAGCCTACTTTGCGGCGCATAAACCTATGTCAGCATATCAGCGTATCAGCGTTTTCAGGTGTCCACACAGGGCTGGCTCAGATCCGTACTCAAATGAATTCGTGGGAGCTGGAATCACCAGATCTGGAGCCGTTTTCAATCGGATTGGTGTGGAGGAACACTGCATCCGCAACGAAAACTAAGGACGTCTGGTCGCTCAAATTTATTGGCCTTGCTATGGATTTAAAAAGCTAATTATCAGTATCCGCAAATATCAGTTATCGGCTACGTCAGCAGGTCAAATGTAAAATATTGTATCAGCTCAATAAAAATCCACATCAGCCCATGCCTAGACTGAATCATGACTGAATTGGGATAAGACGGGGGAATCTGGGGTGGCAGTAGTTTCACTGGAAGAGCGTTTGACCAGAAACTCAAATTACTTCTTGCATTTATGCCAATATTTGTTTGTCAGGAAATATACTTCGTTATATGTATTGCCCCAGAACAGATGCATTGTTTAAACAGTTCTTCAGGTTAAAATAAGTCCAACATTACAGATATAAACTCATAAGGGAAAGTTTTGCTTGAGAGGTGTCTCTTAAAATTAATTGAAATAAATTTGTCACATGAGATTACTGTATTCAACTTCCTTCACTCAATGTTTAAAATACTCTTGCTACAATACCTGTTACATATGCTCCTGTAACCTTGTCTAGATAATAAGAAATCTCGTAACTTTTACGTTTCGCAATTACAGAACAGTTTGTATCAAGCTCGCCAGCTAGTTTCTAAATTACACAATGGAGCTCAACAATGACTGCCCACCTTGAGGTTCCTTAAGTAAATTTAATTATTGACTTTTGATTTTAAATATTTGTCAAACTGGATCATCTAAGATACTAAATCAATTTGCCAAATTTTAAGTGAGTTCTTTGGACTATGAACATTTATTTTGTTTTAGTTTAAAGGTGCATTGTGTAACTTTTCTGGTGAAGGGCCTACCAAAAATTTTTTCTCCACAGAGATGTTATTGTTTTGCATGAAATGTTTCACAGAATGGCACAAAAACTTTCTATCATCATGGAGACTAAATCAGGCCTCCTACGGGTCAGATCTGTGGAGAGGCGACCCTGCTCTTAGTCAGAATGCCTAGGTATTTTTTGAGCTATAAAATGACCTCTAATTGGATAAATGTAAGGTAGAGCTGTTTAATGCCATTGTGGAACATTCAAAGCAGAGTAATGACATCTCCATAGAAACAAGAAGGTGATGAACCCACAAGCGAAAAGTTACATAGTGAACCTTTTTGAAGGAAATAAATGCTGTTTTCAGTCTTTGCACTGGTATAAGTTGATCTATATAAAATTCGAAAGCATTTTATTGTCCGACAAGCAGGAAGTGCACTGTCAGCATGCTAGTTGTTGTTAGCTTTACCAGGACAGCATTGCATTGTTTTGGTCTCTGAAGGTCGTCAAAAGCGATTAAAAACTCATCACGGTGAATTATTAGGTAAGTGAGAAATAACTTCTGTTCTGTTTTTCATGTTTTCAAGACAAAAAAAAAAATCAGGTGCTGTGCCTTTAAGCGAACATCTGCTCTGCCAAACTGGACCAGAACTAAAGACACTAAAGACACTGCAGCCGTAATGACAGCTCCCCGTTGGCCGAAGTGGGCAGAGCGAACAGGAAGCAGGGACACGTGCCGAGGTCAAGGGTCGGCCGCCGTGGGAAGAGCATTTAAATACAGTACGGATCAGGCAGACAGTCATGAAACATTCACAAAGAACAGCAGCCAAGTGCACAGCTCACAAGTCACAAGTAATTAACGGACGTTCCCAATCTGTGACAGCTCTTGAAATCCATTCAAAGTCTTCCAGTTTCCGAAAATAAAAATGGAGCTAAACTTGGATCTCCTTGACTTGTACCTTCTCTTTGACAGGAGACAAATAGAGTTGCAGTTATTTAAAAAGTGAACCTTTAACTTTTTTTACTTATAAAATTAAAAACAATTACTATGCAAAGTCTTCATAGGCGAGAAAGAGTGAAATTATTTAGACCATAACATAATAACCTTGATAAATAATTAAATACCAATAATACATGGGTCTCCAAACTTTTTCTCCAGGTAAGCCACTTTTACAAACGAAAATGGCAGAAGTTTTTTTTTTTTCATCTTAGGCCCCTTCCACACTCAGTTCAATTTGAATCGTTTTCGTTGCGGATGCAGTGTTCCTCCACACTAATCCGATTGAAAACAGCTCCAGAGATGGAACGATCTGGCGCCGCCAGCTCCCACGAATTCATCTGAGTACGTATCTGATCCAGCACTGTGTGGACGCCTGAAAACGCTGATACGCTGATGTAGGTCTGTGCACCGCAAAATAATTCACCTCCAAAAAGCTAAGAGGGTAGAATATATGCGTATGACCTGCAGATGCCCAGCATGTTAAGTTTATTCCCAAGAGCAAAGGCCGTAATGAAGTATGATTGCACTTGTCGAGTGTTAAACCTCGAGTGAGAGACAAGACTGAGTCCAAATGTGATCGAGTCTGAGACAAGTCCTACGACACTGCGATTTACCCACACTACCTTGGCGATCAACTGGTAGATCGCGATCAATGAATTGAGCCCCTGTTTTATTGTTTTTATTAGATTCAGTTTTTAGTCATATGCTTTGTTATTGTTTTTATGATCTTTCGCACTTTGGTCAACCTGTGTTCTTTTTAAAGTGCGTTAGAGATAAAGTTGCAGTTCAGATGTTGCACAAAATTGAGCTTATAAAGGCAACAACAACGCCTATAAACATAACCCATAAACCAATATATGAGCTCTAAATCATTTACCAAACACACCAGATTAAAATGACCCCCAGTTCAAGCTGAAGCTGTTTCTGAACCCTGGAGAGCACAGACAAATGGCTGGACTCTTTGTGAAGTTGAGACTGTAGTTTGGACCTTCTGCTGTCTGATCTATTCTTATAAGTGGGAACAGACTTCGAATCAGACTTCAAAAGAGAGGTAAAGCTGCTGTTGCGAGATATGGTCTAGACAATTCATTTCAAAACTTAAAGTCAATATCACAGACACAAAGAAAGGCTTTTCTAAGGGCTGATGGACAAACGGATCCCAGTTTTTCTCCAAATTGTTGATTTGACTGTATATGGGCGTTTAAACCTTCTTACAATGTTTTACAGATAGGAGCTTGATAGATTTCCTCTCATCAGATTCTTCACAAAAGGTAATAAATTAAGAAAAAAACACAGTCCGCTCACACCACAAAACAGAACTTATGACGCACCCAAACACAACATGATAAAAGACGTGGCTTCACATGACAGTAGCAGTGTACAGCAGACGCTCACTGACCACGTGCCGGGTTTCCTCCGGGGTTGAGGGTCACGTTGAAGGCCTGGCTCCACATGTTCTGACCCTGAGGAGCATCACATGGATCCACGTACAACAGAGCTCCACCAAAGCCCAGCTCAGACAGAAGAGACAGCTGCAGAGGACAAAACGAGACAAACATCAACAGAAGAGTTTACATATTTCGTTTTAATGTGGTTGTTAAACAGTACTAGGCGTCTTTGCATCGTTTAATACAGTTTAGTTTCAGTAATACAAGTATACTGAAATGTGCTTAGCTGGTGAGAAGGAAAAGACCCCATTTGAACAATATTACAGATATAAACTCATAAGGGAACATTTAGCTTGAGTGGTGTCTCTTGAAATTAATTGAAATACATTTATCACATAAGATTACTGTATTCAACTTCCTTCACTGAATGTTTAAAATACTGTGGCTACAATACCTGTTACGTATGCTCCTGTAACCTTGTCTAGATAATAAGAAATCTCATAACTTTTACACTTTGCAATTACAGAACAGTTTGTATCAAGCTCGCCAGCTAGTTTCTAAGTTACATAACGGAGCTCAACAATGACTGCCCACCTTGAGGTTTCTTAAGTCAATTTCATTATTGACTTTTGATTTAAACTATTTGTCAAACTGAATCATCTAAGATACAAAAACAACCATGTTACGAACACAAATTTTGCTTTAGTTTAAAAGTGCATTGTGTAAATGTTTTACAGAATGGCATAAAACCTTTCTATCATCACGGAGACCAAATCGGGACAAGTTACAAGTCAGATCGGTGGAGAGGTGGCCCCGCTCTTGGTCAGAATGCCAATTTTTTAGGTAGTTTTATAAAACCAGACCAAGTTACAGGTCAGATCTGTGGAAAGGCGGCCCCACTCTCAGTCAGAATGCCGATTTTTAGGTAGTTTTATAAAACCAGACCAAGTTACAGGTCAGATCTGTGGAGAGGCGGCCCCACTCTCAGTCAGAATGCCGATTTTTAGGTAGTTTTATAAAACCAGACCAAGTTACAGGTCAGACCTGTGGAAAGGCGTCCCCGCTCTTGGTCAGAATGCCAATTTTTTAGGTATTTTTATAAAACCAGACCAAGTTACAGGTCAGATCTGTGAAGAGGCGGCCCCACTCACAGTCAGAATGCCGATTTTTCTTGGAATTTTTGAGCTATAAAATGATCTCTAATTGGATAAATGTAAGGTAGAGCTGTTTAATGTCATACTGTGGAACATTTCAGGCAGAACAATGATATATCCATAAAAACAAATAGGTAACGGACCCCCAACAAAAAAGTTACACAGTGCAGTTCATAATTTTATCCAAAAAAAAAACACACCTGTATGGAGCTGTTTAATGTCATATTGTGGAACATTCGAAGCAGAGCAATGACATCTCCATAGAAACAAGGTGATGAACCCACAAGAGAAAAGTTACATAGTGAGCCTTTGAAGGAAATAAATGCTGTCTCTGCTCTGGTATAAGTTGATATTGGGTAAAGCGATCAGCAACTAAAGTATCGGAATCAGTACTGGAACTGAAAAAGCTAGATCCCTAGTCATGCCTACAAACTATTTTTATTTTTTAATTCATTAATTGATTTATTTTTTAATGAATAGCAAAATTTACTCAAAATAGCAAAACCTCAGTGGGCTTCAACTGTTCAGCTCCATGGTGGAAATTTCAAAATAGAAATTACCAAGTCTGGTGAATATGAATAATATTTTTGCATAATATAGGAACTTTTTTACAAATTAGAATAACACCAACAAGGTAAAAAAATCATTAAACCACAGTGAAGTCATAGAAATTGTTGTGTCTCTCCAATCTCTAATAGAACTTGCAGCGTACTGTGTTATATTTTTAGCCCAGGTGCAGCCATGGCCTCTGTCTGAGCCTGTGTTATTGCTCCATATATTGACTCCATGTGTAACAGCGGCGGTCACTTCTTTGTCACTGATGTCCTTTAAAAGTAGGCCTCCTCAGACAAAAACATACAGATATATAACTGTACACCTGGATCTGAGCCATGTTGAGACGGAGCCTGACTCAAATGTGTTTCAAATCTAATTCTGTGGACAAATATAGGCCCAGATCTCCAGGGAACGTCACTGTGCGTGAGTGATGCTTGGCTGCAGGTAATGTCTGAGTCCACAACCTACATGCATGGATGGAGATGGACTTGAATAAGAATACAATGTACTTGGTATGTATTTGGAGTATAGTTTTGACTTTGAGTAATTGAAAAAGGGTCCATATTGCGGTATTTTCTATTTTATAATGTTGTTTCCTCATCACAAACAGACCTGGAGTTGTGTTTTGTTTTGTTGCACAAATCATGCAATTTTTTAAAACTCCATACACCGTCACTAGAATTTTTTTTGGCTACGTTCAGACTGCAGCCTGAAGTGACCCAAATCTGATTTTTTCACCCCTATGTGACCTGTATCTGATCTGTTAATGGCAGTGTGAACGACACAGATCCGATTTTTTCAAATGTGACCCAGGCCACTTGGATATGTGCTCCTAAAACCGATACATATCTGATCTTTTGACATGCGACTTCAGTCTGAACGGCCAGGTCGCATTCATCCCACTTACACGTCAGGCTCGGAGTCTAGTCAATGGCGGGAAAGCGAAGCTATTGAGTTAATTAATATTTAGGGGGATCGCTGTATTCACGCCAAAGTGGAAGGATCTCATCGGAAATGATTGCCAAAGAAATTGCCAAGCGCAGCTACAGGTGGTCCTGGCTCCAATGTCAACAAAAAACAAAGAGCCTGTGAGCCAAATCCAAGGAGGCTAAAGACCCAAACAAAGCGGCCGTGGATGTGTAACCTGTCCATTTTACAAAGAACTCGACTGTATTTTCGGAGACAAATCCAGTGTTTAGGCTACTTCTGTAAACACTGAACACGCTCGCTTCATGTGACATCGCTGTGTCCTCCACTGCACCTGCGGGACACTGTTTTGGGGCTTTTAAAGTTCACACTGGAGATCACATACAACCCCGCAAAAAAATCGGATTTCACAAAAAAAAAAAATACAAATTTTGAGCATTAAACCCTACAGTCTGAACGTGTCCTTAGATGATTTCAGCCTTGTAATTGCTAATGTCTATTGAACAAAAAGTAAAAGGTAGATGTTAACGGAATTATCACTTCATGACATCACAAGGTGGAACAGAGCATTTTGAGTTTTGGAGGATGGGTAGTTAAAAGCTCACAAACACCAATTATAAGTATAAGACCCTTAATATAGAGATATTTTATAATTATGTTGTATTAAAACTAACAATATTGAATGCAAGTCATTTATAGTTTAACCTGGATCTAAACCTTTTGTTTTTCATTAAACTTAGTATATACAATATACTGGTGCCATATAAGAAAGTGTCTGTAAACATATGTAGAAAGGTCATAAAGGTTTAGACTCTGGGGTTTGTATTTTATTAAATTAATTCATGTGGTATTATTAGTTTCTATTTTGTGTGTGGTTAATTAGCAGAAAGAAGCACAATATTAATTGTACAATGACATTAACTATACATTTGTTTCCATGGAGACATTATATATATTATGGCTTTTTCTATAATGTTCCATGGTATCTATCTTCATTTAGATGACCCCACCCAACCAAGTTGAAGGTCCAATCTGTACAGAGCTGACAAAAGTTTGTTTCCATGAAGATGAGCAGGTGGCAAACCCCCATCAGAACCGTTAGAGAATGTTGCTTTAAAGGTGCAACTTTAACTTTGTCTAACTTTTCTGGTGGAGCGTCTGTCAAATGCTTTTCTGGAAAGTTTCACAGTCTGGTATTAAACCTTTGTATCTTCACGGAGACCAAACTAAACCAAGTTACAGCTCAGATGTGGAGGTGACCCCGATCACAATCAGAATGCCTGCTTTTCTAGGTATTTTTGAGCTATAAGGCTACATTTATATGATGACGGTCTGAACAGAAGACGCAAAAGTGGCATTGCGTCTTCACTTTTTATTCTGCGTTTAGACGAGCGTTTTCGGGAGGAAATCTGCATGCATACAGTGACGCAAAAGTGTGTGGAATTCAATTGAGTATGCATGCCAGGCGACATTCACTTAAAGTAACAAGGGCGTCTTTGGACACATGGAAGTTTTCACGCCGCACATTTTCATCAGCTACTCCTTCCACAAAGTTGTCTCGTCCATATGCATCTGTATCATCTGCAATGAACTGGTGCATCCAGAATTTGACAGAGGTGATTGCAGATCCTTCTCTGTTCACTAATAGTATCTCTGCATATTCTGTACATTTGTTGGGAGCCTCCTGTAAGTTTATTAGAGCTGCTAGAGTAGCTTGAAGGTCCGACACATGGAAATGATCCGACATGTTTGTTTCTGTGTACTGTATGTATGTGACGTAAACGTGTACGCGACGTGAGCAGATCTGACCAGAGTTTTGCATCTTGGGCAGTGTAGATGGAAACGCTACAGCAGAGTGTATTCAGCTCTTCCACTCTGGAGATTTTTGTGTTATTAAGCCTCAAAAACGCCATCACCATCTAAATGAAAGGCACTTCCAAGAAAATTGTTGTTTTTACCCGCAAGGCGTTCTCGTGTAAACAGGCCCTCAAACCACCAGTAAATGAACAAATGTAAGACAGAGCTGTTTAATGTCATACTGTGGAACATTCTAATCACATATCCATAGAAACAAGAAGGTGACGAACCCCCAACCAAAATGTTACATAGCGCACCGTTATGCAAGATCTATGTTTTCTCACGTACTTGTCTCCCCCAGAACAAGCAGAAATGTTCAAATCCAATATTGACTGTTGAAGTTGCATTTTCTTTTGATTCTAATGTCATTTTAAAGTTAACATTTGTGCTTTGGTTATCGAGTCTCTCATATAATCAGAAAGAAACAAGAGCCCCACATGTTTGGGTTGCCAGATCAATGAAAACCAGTTGAATATAAACCTACTCTATGATCTGAACATACCAAACCCTCAACCCGCCTACAGCCTCCAGTATTTAAACCTTTCAAATGAGACTCTAAGGCCACATAGGTTCTGCGTATCTATAATCAGCCATCTTCTATAGTACTTGACAAAGACGGCATTAATCTCCCGCTGGTCTGTGTCCATGTAT